CAGCATGGTTGGAAAGTGCCTGAAAACCATACCACAGTTTGACCCAAGCCTTGTGAATGAAACTGGATAGATGGAATACTTGGGGGCCATCAATAGCTGTTCTAGCACAAAACCACAAGTCATCATGGCCGAGGGTGTGAGTGTGTTGGCTCTGTTCAAATTGTTGATCATGCAAGATAACACTCTCTCTTCTAGAGACTGTAACTAAGGTCTGCTCAGCATAGTTGCAGTATAAACCACTGGATGACTTGGATGGATGGATATAGAAAGACACAGATGGATGGACAGTTGGTTAGCTAGACAGACAGACTGGAAACTTATTGAAATTAAAGTTTAGATATATATTTCATAAGTCCAGCTAGGGATGTCATGGTTTGAACAAACATTTAGTCACTAAGTATAATTAGAATAATAAACAAATCACTAAGATAAACATGTTTCACACAAGCAAATTATATCCAAGAACATTAACTGATATAATTTGCTTAAACTTCAGTTTTCTTATGAAAGGAATGTGAACTTGGCTTAAAACTGAAACCAAATTTTGTGATATTTATCTCAAACCACTATACAATCATTTCTGAAGTCTAAAAACTGTAAACTGAAACAAATTATATAATTACATCCACTCAGAAGACAATTAACTTTCCCTTTTGAAATTTATTCCCAATTTCTCTTTTTTTCTTTCTTAATATTTTGGTTTTGCATTCATGTCACATTCTAAAAAGATGACAAAAATATTAAAACAAAAAACTCCAATGGACAAGAATCTCTATTTTGTGACTTGGATAATTTTCCCATATCATCATAAAGTAAATTCTAAAGTAGCTTTCTTTTAAATTCATTATAACTTAAAGTTTATAGTTACAGTTGAAAAACAGCTTCCCAAAAGACAAAGAAAATAAAAAATAAATATTTTTGCTTTTAATATGGGTGTCAGTGTACTGACGTTTTTGACAACTAAAAACAATTTGCAATTTTAAAATCTCATCATGCAAACTCTGTCTAGAAAGTATCTTGCCATTTTAAATATCTTGAGATCTTGTTGCATGATCATGATGTAAATTTGCAACTAAAGAAGGCCTTATTATATGTGCATGAACAGACACTCCCCCATGGGGTTACTCAGATGGCAGTAAGACAATACTGAATGAGCTTGTGTGCTTACATGTTGAATTTATAATGCCTTGAGCAAGGCCTTTTGACAAAACGTCACATCACCCATGTCTCTCAGTCTCCAGTCTAAAGATTTGGATATCTGGGATCTCTGGCTTTTCTCAAAAAAGGGAAAATGTTTCAGAAGTGGAGGTAGATTAAGGAAATCATGATAAGGCAGTTGATGGTGATCCCAATCTTTTGCAGACTAGAAAAGTAAAAGGAATGTTGGGACAAATGTCCAGGATCCCAAGAGGAGTACATGGAAGAAGACTAAGGTTCCATTGCCCTAGGTAGGCTAATTTTTTATGAGTACTAAATGACTAGATGTCTTTTTTTTATGAGAGATTTTGTTAAGTCTTTCACTAATGCACTTAAAATCTATAATAATCCAATTACACTTGAATATAGAGAAGCACTAGGTGCAACAGTTCTTTTTTTAAATATCTTTATTTGTAAAATATTTTAATATACAAATTTACAAGTGATTTTCTTCAAAAATTAAATTTAAAACATGAAGGTGCATCAATAAGTCTGTGGCCTGACATGTAGTTCACTTTAAATGTTCACTATGTAATGTTCAATTTCTATTAATAATATTACCACTGAATTAAGTGCATTAACAAGAAAGGAGATTATGTTTAAAATTTGTTGTGTGAAGTAAATGCTTCATCTCTAGGCAATGAATATATCAAGGTACATATATACATGAACCTTTACCAAAAAATAAGTACTTTTATTCAAAAGACAATCTTTGAAATCAAGTTTGAAAATTTCAGTCCATATATAAGTGGATATTTCTGCAAAACAATTATGTTATTTGTAGAAATGTCTTTATGTAATAAACTGGATAATCTTTCTCTACCATAAAGAGGTTGCTTTTGTCATGCCAAATTTTCCATCATTACATATTTCCTTGTTGTTTTATGCAAAAGTTAACATTAAAAACTGTAATAATGGTATTTTGAATATAGGCACTTTTTTTGTGGGGCAAGATGTTCTTTGCTGATATTATGAGTCACATTGGGAGGTGCCATAGTTTATTCCTACCCAAGTACTTTCAATTTCCTCCAAGATAATCCCCAGGGGTAAATTACAAAGACAAACTTATATTGAAACTGTGATTGTTGTGATGTTGATTTTTAAAAACATGCATGAATGCACTCTCTTATAATCATATTAAATTTATCCATTGTAGCTATGGAAGGGAACTGACTGTAGATTAGTAGCAGGCAAAATGGCATTAACTGTTATATGCTACAACGGATAAATAAATTTAAAATTTAAAAATAATTATAACAGAGTGAGTTTCAAAATAATTGTGTTTTTTAAAAATCGCCATCACAACAAAATGCATATTTTATCATAGTTACAATAAGTTTGTCTTTGTAATTTACCCCTGAGGATGATCTTTACAAAGATCAAAAGTACTTGGGTAGGAAAAAACTATGGCACCTTCCTTGATGAATTTCATCTTATCATCAAAAATCTTAGAAAACTGGAAAGGTTCAGTATAAAAATAAAGACATAATATGTCTATATTATTCAGTAAAACATGTTTTGAATGAAGGTATGCTGCCTAAATATACACATATATACACTTATACAAATACATATATACCCATATACACGCACACACACACATATATATATATATATATATATATATATATATATATATATATATATTATAGCCATTGAGGTCTGCAAGGCTTTAAATTAACTGACTCCAAGTAGATCCACATTGTGTTATTATTGTCTTTGTAATAATTAGTACTTATAGGCATGTAGCTAGGATGTTAGTATCCCAACCATGATACCTGGATTCAAATCTCACCATAACTGATTTGCCAGGGAGATGGTTTCTTGATAACATTGGCCTGAGGTAATGATCCCAGTGTTCTACACTGTTTAGAATTACCTGACAAACTACACCACAGATTGATCCAAGATTTTTAAGTGCAACTGGGTAGACAAAACTGTTTGAAAGCTGTCAGTAGTTGTTGTAGAATAAAACAACAAGTCATCATGAACAAGGGTTTGAGCATATCGCCTGTTGATCATGCAAGATTATGTGCTCGCTTGAGAAACTGTAACTAAGGTCTTCTCAGCAGAGTTGCAGAATAAACCACAGGTTGTGGAACAAGCACAAATGTGCTCAAGCAGGTGTCTGTACAAAGTTCAGGTAGCCACCAGAACATAGAGGCATAACTGGATACAAGTGACAAGCCATACATATGTTTTTTAATAAAATTACATACATTTCAAATCATTTTATAATTCTACTTGCTCCTTAGTTAGCACATACATTACACACCTAATAGCTTGTCTGTCTCCTGTTTCTAGAAGGGAAAAGGAAGATAGAGAAAGCAATAATGGCCTTGTGTGTTTAACAACTGCTTCAGTGAAATTGTATAGTAAAATATGTAATATGACAGCATGGAATGATTAGTTTCAGTAATAAAAATTAGCAAAAACTATGGAATTTCCATGGGTCCACTCTTCACCTTTAAAGGAAATAGACGTCATAAAAATCTATTTGAAAAATGATTATAACATGATATGCGGTTTATGACTATTTAATGAATGCTTACAATTTATCCCCCTTAAAATTTAAAAATATCTCAAGTGTCAACCTGTCAACCATAGAATTTCTATGGTTTCAGCTATATATAAATGTGAGATCCAAGACATTCTCAAAAACTGTAACAGACGCATAAAAAAACGTATATATATTAAATCAGATTTATCTCATTTTCAAACCATTTATTTGCATCTACACATATAGGAACAGTAGATTTATTAAGTGTATCAAATTTAAAGCATTAAATTTTTTTTTTTTTTTTTAAATCACAATTTAGATTTAAATTAATTTTTGAAAACAGATTTAAATTTTTTATGCAGAATCTAATTGTCAGATTAATTGTTCACTTTCAACAAGTGTTGTTTGATTTTTACTTTTTGCAGAGTTTTGCAAAAAATCCTTTCAATTTCCTAATTTATAAAGTGATGCTTATGGTTCACAATAAGTTATGGTTCATATCATTAGGTTTTTATATTTTCTATATTATTTCTATATATATAATTGGTGTGATGTGATTGAAAAAGGTGTAGGTTTCAAATATTTTAATAAAATTTGGTAAGAGAATTTCAGTGTCTTTCTCACTGGTTCTTTGATGTTCAATTTAGCAACAATAACACTCTTTTTTTTTCCCCCCTTCTTGTTCTCTTACCATTCATCAAGAGAAAACTCACACTCTGAATCAAATTGTAGGATCTAAAACAATTTCCCCTTCCCCCATAGTAAAGCAGCTTTTATATTCTTTTCAAAGGGTCATGTGTATTTGTATGTTACCAGCAAAATCTTGTATTTGGAAGACTGTAATATTTTTAAATATTCACCTTATGAGCAGTCATTTTCTTTTTCTCTTTCTTTTTTTATTTACATTCAATGAACATGCAAAGTCTCTTCCAGCAGTAAGTTATTTTTGTCTTTATTTGTTTTTTCCTTCATTTCTTCAACCACATTTAGTATTCTTAATAAATATTTACAATATTGCATTTCTTTGGAAGAATCTAGGATTAAATGGTGCCTAACATCAGTCTTTTGTAAATAATGTTTCATTCAACTGCATTGCAAGGTTTTCTAATCGTTTTAAATAATGAGATATACACTTTAAATAAAACACAATACCTTCAGAATAAAGGTATTGCTTTTATGAATAAAAGTATATAAGTTTTGAATAAAAGGCTCATACATTTTAAATATCAATTTTGAATAACAGTACACATTCTAAATAAAAGCATGTATGCATTGAATAAATCTGTTAATAAAAGAGACTTACCCAGGACTTGGATGATGAAAAGGCACAGGTGTTGGAGGCCAGTGATATCTTCCTTCAAGAGTGTGAGAGTTTAAGGGTAAAGGCTGGTTAATAGACAGTGCAGTGTACGGAAATGGCAGGCCTATAATGAGACAATACACAGGAAAATCAATGACACATGGAGAGAATAAAAAATAAAGAAAAATTTCTGAAATCTCAACATAATTGCTCCCAAAATAATGCCTCCTACTTATTTCCATAGAAACTACAATGAATATGGAGCAAGTGGCAAATATGGACAAATGTGCACACAAAAAAACAATGCTTTTATTTTAACTACCTTAACTCTTCGGCAATGTTTGTTGTTGTAAAAAGCAATGATTAGAATTGAAATAAACCTAGACATTTGATGAAAGTAAATTCATACAATTTTTTTGTTCATGTGAATTTACAATTAAAATATTAAACACTATTTATTTATTAGATTGTTTATTTACAAGAATAATTTTATATTTACACCATTCTAAAAGCTAAAACAAAGCGATATTTATCATTTACCAATTTGTAAAAAAATAAATGTGAAACAATTCTTATTCATTAATATATAAATATTTACTAAATTATTAAATTATGTGAAGCAAATTCTTATTATTTACCATTTTATAAACTTCAAATCAGTTGGTAATTAACTGATGTTTTACTAAACATTCTAATAAACAATCTAATAAATAAATAGTATTTACTATTTTTTTGTCAATTCTCAAGATCAAAGAAAATGAATAAATTCACTTTCAAATGTTTAGGTTTTATTAATCATTACTTTTTAAAACCATAAACATTTCCGAAGATGAAGGTAGTTAAAATTTCATGGGAAAAACTATCTTTTGACATTTCATTTTTTTTTTTTTTTTTTTGGGCGACACACACACACACACACACACACACACACACAAAAGCCCAAGATTTCAATTACAAAATACTATTATTTCATATAATTCCCGCTGTTAGCTATGCATTTTCTACAGTTATGACCAAACACTTGAGCTTGTCATACACATTACTGTCACCAGTGCTGAAACACTATACCCACTGCAAACCATCCACTGTTTGTTCTAAATAAATGTTTTGCAACCATTGCTGAATGGGTGACATTTTTTCCACCTGTGGGCAATTCAATGATACAACCTGTTTTGTACACAACTTCATGTCAGATACCATTTTGATAGACTCTTATTTATGACCAGGCAAAAATAAAATAAGTTATTGGGGGGGATGGGAGTTGCAACTTCTACTGCAATGCCACTGGCATCACTTCTGACATCATCAACTAACATTATAAAATAATTACTAATACTTTTGAATTGATCCTTGTCCTTAACCAACTCAATCACATGGTTATGAATCCACTTAGAGATTCACTCACTAGCAGGAAGCAGTAAACTAGTAGGTTCTTCAAATTGAACCAATGCACCTGATATTTAGTAGTATAAAATTAAAATTCACTATTTGAAGAGAAAGCAACCAGTAATTTAGAGGTCTTAGACAATTCAAGAATTTGGAAGTGAAATTGGGCAATGTTAATGTTTACAAAGTTGAAGAAATTAAATTTTGAAAACATTTGGTTGTTTGAAAATTAAAAATCTGTTCAAAATTTGTTAACATAATCCTCATAATTAGCAATGACAAAGCAACAATATAGAATCAATTCTTTCATTTCTGTTAAAATAATCTGGGAAAAAATTTTGAGTTTTTAATTGATCTTTTCCTTACTATTCAAGGTTTTGTCATTAAAAGAAATGTTCTACTGATCAAATGAAATGGTAACCATAAACAAATGATTGTAATCTCCAAAATATAGGGTAAGATCTCTCTTCATTACTAAAATCTCACTTGAAAGCTTTTATTGTTCTTTATTACTTATAATATATAGGATCCAATGAGTAAATTGTTGCCATTTTATGTTTTTAATTTCACGCATGCGCTTTGTTTGTTCTTCGATTTTGTTGACACTATACACAGTATAGTAGGATCAGTTAGGCTCCATCTGTGAAAAAAAAAAAGTACCATGATGCAATTCACTCTGCCAGAAATCAGGAAAAAGCATGTTGTATTGCTTGGCATTTGCACCAGAAGCTCCAATATGAACATTTCAGAGTGTTTGGGTGTCACTCTGAGGATTCGGAAAGAGTTGGATGAGTCTAATGGTGATTACAAAGGTACAACAACTCAGAAAACTCACTCTGATCATTCTGATAAGAAAAGAATCCCCAAATTTATTGGTGAGGGACTCAGACTAAACACAGAGGCCTACATCAAGTGCCTTGAGGAGGTAGTGCAGCCCTGGGTCAAGAGGGTGGCTGCTGGAAGACCCTATGTCTGGTAACAGGACTCTGCACCATGTCATGCAAGCAGGAGAACGCAGTCATGGCTGTCAGGTAATTTCTGTGACCACATCAGCCCTTACATCTGGCCACTTAACTCCCTAGACTGCAACTCCTTTGATTATTATGTGTGGGGCACAGTTGAGCAAGAGAACTACAAAACTCCTTGTAAGACCAAAGATGAACTGAAGGCAAGGATTATGGCAGCATTCACCAACTTAAACAAGAAAACTGTCTAGAAGAGTTGCAGGAGATTCTGAAGTTGTCTGCAGGCCATGGTTGAAGCTAATGGTGATTTTATTGTATAAATTTACTCTTTAGTATTTCAAAATATTTTTGTATAATTTTGGTAAATATATCTGTTATGTCAATGTTATTTTCTTTTTGGCATAATTTAGACAATTCGATCATACACTGTATATATTGCATCTTCCGTGTCTCATCAGTATTCTACCCTTACAATCTTTGGAACAATTTTTGTATGTATTTCTGAGATGAGGTATTGTAATTATTTATACTATTTACATTGTTCAGACTGTTGTCCTCACCTTTATTGTCATATTCATGACATTTCTGTCTTCTTCAAGTGATTGGAATTCCAAACTAAACCCTTTATTTTGTCCACCAAGGTAGATTGTTCTAGTTCCACATGCCATGCCTTTTCTGGATATCTCAGTTTCAGTTATTTCTCTTTAGTAACTAAACTCTCCAAGTTTTTGTTCACCTAAGCTGTGGCCAGATATTGAACTCACAACTCTTTGGGTCAAGTCACTGGATTACTTCAACCAATGCTTTTATCCACTGTGCCATGTGTCCTTGAGTAATCCAGTGACTTGATCCAAAGAGTTACGAGTTCAATACCTGGCCACAGCAGAGTTGAACAAAAACTTGGAGAGTTTAGTTACTAAAGCGAAATAACTGAAATATTTCAAAGAGGCATGGCATATGGAACTAGAACATTCTACTCCAGTGAATGAAATAAAAGGTTCAGTTTTAAATTCCAATCACCTGAAGAAGGCTGGAGTGTACAGCAGCCAAAATATTTTGAATACGACAACAAAGATGAGCACAACAGCTCAAATAGTGTAAATAGGCACAATCTTAATGTCAGTTCTTGCTTTATAAGCAATGATGGCATGTTTACAAAAGACTTGGATACTTTACAGAAAATGCCTGACTAACAACATTGCTTCTTTAAAACCTTTAGCACTCTACATCATTTTATAAGTATTAATTCTCCTCCCACTATATATGGTGGTTCCTCAAATAGAAACTGCAATCGCCTTGATCTCTATTTAAGTCAATGCTGTTTTCTTCTGCTGCTATAGCAGGATGTGACAACACAATAGTGAAATTTAAATATACTGTTATTTGGTGATTGGTGTCAACTGCAATGTCAAAACAAATGCTTTCCTTGATGACTAAAATTGCCTAAAGAGTGTTTAAGGTTAATCTAAAAAACATTTGCGGGGCAGCATTTAAGATTCTTGCTGTCATTCTGAAAGCAACCCCATATCCTGGTGTTATCCGTTTAAAGCTCCCCACCAACCTGTCCCAGTAAAAATATCATCCACTGATGACAGAAGAAGAAAAAACAAAGTTAAACTAGAAGTCTAAGGCCAAAAGAAAAATTTACTGAACACCAATTACATTTATACAGCAAGTGTCAGATTTCAGCCACACCTGAAAAATATGTTCAACAAATTGTTAGCTGCTCCAGGCTGTTATAACTGAGTATTTAGCAGTCCTTATCTGATAAATAGTGATTTTAAATTCTTGCTGTAATTACTTTATAGATATCTCTATTGGCAAACAACTGACAGATTGTGTGTAGAACTTGTGGGAGGAGTTTATTCAGCAGCTGAGGAGGTAAAGTAAATAAAAGAAAAAGCAAAATCCTTGTGAGAAAGAATTGCCACAAATACAAAATGAATTGAGTGTAAAACTTATTAATGGTCAAGTCATACCATTGCTTATTATTGTAAATGTCAAGTGCAGAACAGATAGATTACAGCCAAGAGAAGAACTATAAACATTTAGTTTGATACTAGCTCCTCAAGTAAAAGGGAAATCAAACAAACAAAAAAATGTCCTAATCAAAATGAATGTAGTATACAATACTAGCAAAGCAGATGTACAGTATAACACAACCCCATTTTATTATTTAAAAGCTATTTGGGAAATTTAAATGTGGATAAAAATGACTGTTTCTGTCAGTCATATGCAAGGATGGGGAATTATACATGAGAGATAAATGAATATAGTAAATAGTTCTAGTTAGGCAAAAGAAATTGTATACAACAGGTTGACCAGTTATGAGAAGAAGTACCAGGGCTCAAGAAAAATAATAAGACAATTTAATCCAGTGTTTCTCAACCTTTTTAAGCAACAGCACACCTAAGAGCAAATGAAAATATCACGGCACATTTAGTAAAATTTTTAAAGGGTAGACATTTAAATGTTATGACATAAACCATTGATTTAAAAACAAAAGGTTAATATTCATCTATTCAAATAAAGGAAAATTTTAAAAAGTTAAATTAAAAAAAAAAATACTTTTTAAAATATGAATATTAAAACAAAGTATTTAAAATAATATAATCAAAGAATAGTGAAAAGAATTATTTTTTTAAAAACATTTAATATATTCATTTATTCAAATACTAATGCTGTACTATTACTACTTCTACCACAGACATATATATATATGCCATGACAATATTCTGCAATATGACAGTTATCACTTATTTAACCAAATGTTTAAATAAAAAAAAAGTTGTAATTTTTTTTATAAAAACTATTGTAAAATTTAAATTAAATTGTTTTGTGTTTATTCATTTTTAAAACATTAACATTTCAATTTTTGTTATGAATTGTACTATATGTATTAAAAACAAATGAACAATTTAAGATTGAATTAATCCCAGTAAAATATTTATTTCTTAAAGATTCTAATAGTGTTTTAATTATATTACTAACAACTATAAATCATAAAGTTTTAAAAAGAATATTTAGGCTTTTGGTCAGTATAAATTTTTTTTTCAGGACAAATTTGTTTTTTTGGGGGATCTTTGCATGGAACCACTGTGCAAAAAAAATTGTAAAGTAAAAAAAAATTGTCAGATTTGATGATACTGAATTTCTACTTCCGAGCTTACTTTAAATGGATGTCAATCAAGAAGAAACATTGTTTCTTGGAGCTAAGCTTTACTTAGAATATATTGACATTCATTGGCTTCAGAGGTATTCTCTTGTTTGGGAAAAAAATATATAAATCTTTATATATCAAGAACAACTTTTGGGAAAAAAAACTATAACAAAGTGGAAAAAGATTTTGTGTGATGCGTTTCATCCTTTAGGACTTCATTGGACTAAAATGATGTTTACGTTGATGCGACAACCCATGCACACAAAGGAAAACAGGTCCTAGGAATTTAAAAAATTTTTTTTTTAAATATACGTTTTGGGTACATAATCTGACTTCATTTAGGTTACCTGCCCCTTTTTGTTCATGTTTTCATTACTTTTGTTATTAAATATTCCACACTGTGATAACAGATCTGCCAAGAAAGGTGAAATGTTATAAGAAACTGAATGCAAATTTACTGTGTATGATTAAAGCACTTTCTATACATTTTAGTTTTAGTAAATTAATTTCTCTTTTAATTAGAGTTGCATTTTTTAAATGAAAATTATTGTCAGTCACATTATCATGAGCAATTAATGTATTTAATGTATTGTTTTATAAAAGATTCCTTTTGTGTTCATATAATCTTTTATTTAAATTCCTTGAGGTTTCTCCTATGTACTCCTTGTGATAGAGTAAATTACTTCTTCAAGTTTTAGCTTATTATTTTGTTTTGTATTAAGTCTTTTATTGTTTTAAAAGTAGTTGTAAAATAAATTTTTGTTGAACATAGATAATTTTTTTAATTGTATTTGTAATATAGTTGGTATGTAGAAATATATTTTTTGAATCATTGGGTTTGTCAGGAAGGACAGCTTTTCAATTTTTAAATATTTTACAAGCATTTTGTTTTGCATTGAATCTGAAATAGTTACAGTATTGAAGAAGCTTGAAAGAATTTTCAATGTAATTCTCCTCTTCATGTAAATACTTTTAAAGAGAATCCAATGATTATTCCAGATTTTATTTTGTTGCTATGGGGAGAATAGAAATTTATGAGATAATTTTTATTAGTTGATTTGTGATGGACACTTGATTTTATTTGTTAACACAGTGAAATATGATATCAAGGAAAATTAAAGTACTGTTGTTTCCATTGCATAAGTAAATTCATTTATATGCTCTATTGTATCTAAATAAGAAATGATCACTAAAAGAGAAAGAAATTCTTTGTGTATATATCAATGTTGCAGTTTAAAAACAGAGATAATGATATTTGTCAAAATAATTCACAGAAAATTAGGAATGCTTTATCTTAGCTGAAGGCCAGAAAGAATGTTGGCAAAAAAAAGAAAGAAAGAAAAAAAGATGACTTTAATTTGAATAAGGTTGGTTAAAAGTGATCAAAACAAGAGAGATACAGATAAGAAATCAAATAATTCCTGGGATAATGAAAAGCACTTCAGACAACCTTTACAATTGCTTTTTTCAGTTTTATTTCACATACATACAACTTTTTGAATATTTTTCTAAATGTGCAGATTTTAAAGATATGTCACACAATGCCATCAAAAAAGCAACTCTTTCAAGAAGCATTCATAAATTAATATCGTTACCATAATCACAACAGGGTGAATAGCCTCAAAGAAAGAATTACCAGGAACTGGTTAATTCAGTTTCAGGCTTTGATGTTGCCTGATTGTGAAAGGTATAAATGACTAATAAAGCCCGGTTAATATTGGGATAGTCAGGCACCATACAAGCCTAAATTAAATTCTATTCACTTTAAATAGCTGCATTAATGCTTAACATCAAATGCATTGCATCCAGGTGGTGTCCGGAAACATCCTTGACAAAAAGCCATCTTTTTTATGTTAAAATAAAAAGACCTACATTTTAATGGCTAGCATGTCTGAGTTGATAATAAAAGAAATTATTCAAAGCAAAAAAAAAATAAATAAAAGCTAGCAAGTGATAGTTGTTTGTTTACAGATTTCCATTTTTACAAATTCAAGAGGCTTGTAGCCCATGTATATACAGTGGAACCTCAGTTCACAAATTTAATTCGTTCCTGAAGGCCGTTTGTAACCTGAAATGTTCATAAACCAAAACTATTTTTCCAATAGGAATCAGTGTAGAGAAAAACAGTTGCAGTACAATAAAGTTGGAAAAGCAAAGCACTGTGGATGAACTAGCAATTAAAGCACTTTCTATACATTTTTCGCTTAATGAATCATTTTCTCTTTTAGTTAGAGTCGCATTTTTTATGTCAAAATTGTGGTCAGTGTCATTACAATGAGCAACTAATGTATTTAATGTGTTGTTTTTTAAAATGTCTCTTTTGTGTTCATATAATCTTGTATTTAAATTTCTTGAGGTTTCACCAATATATTCTTTCTGGCAATCCTTGCAGGTGAGAGAGTAAATTCCACCTTTAAGTTTTGGCTTGTTTTTTTTTTGTATTAAGTCATTTAATTCTAGCTATCCTCTGCCCACAAAGTGGTAAGGAATAGTTAGGATTAGAAAAAAAAATATTATTCATGTTAAAGTGATAGATTGAAAAATATAACAGAAAGCAAAGAAACAAAAAGAAAAAAGAATAGAAAAAGGGTTTTATTTTTTGATCTGACCTTTTAACATAATTTTTTTTCTTTGCTCTTCTTCCGCCTTTGTTTTCATATATTTATGTTTACTTTTAAAATGTTCATTTTTAAAACCTTAATAATAAAATATTCATAATTTGTTTGACCAGTATGTCCAGAAAGGATGAAAGAAAAGTGAGAGTAGATATTTAATCCTGGAGATTTCTATAACAACTAAAAAGACCAAAGATCATATTAACCAAAACTTTGTATTTTGGAAGAAAAGACTGAAATAAAAGTTAAAATAATAATGTCTTTAGACTTTACCATTCATACTGACAGGACATTGTGATTAAAGTTTACAAACCAAAAGAAAATTCTTTCTCATAGATATGGCAATGTGATCAGATAAAAATCTGTTAATGAATATAACAAAACAAATAAATATAAGGATCTTAAAATTGAAAAGAATATGGCACCTTAAAACTATTGTTACACCTGCAATAATTGGGGTCATGTGTATTATCCAGAAAGGTACAGAAAAACTCATTAATTAGATTCTTAGCAGAAACTGTTTATAAACGATTCAAAACATTGCAGTGTGTGGATCTACTTATCTACTCAGGAAAGTTTTATCAAAGTAAAGAAAATATAAACACTGTAAGTGTGAAGTATCATTTGACAACAGAATTTGGACGAACAGAATGCACGTATTTACTATCTTGCTTTACATCAAGTCTTGGATAATGATCTGATAAGGAATTATAATGAACAAAAAGGTGGTAGTAGTAGTAGTAGTAGTAAAAAAACAACAAAAAAACAAACGGGGCATAAATCAATGTTTCTTCCAGTGAAGGTAAACAAGTTAGCTTACCATAGGGTGAAGACTCCAGTATTCCATTTCTTGGGTCCAAGAATTGCTGCGGGTGTACTCCAAAATATGGTGGCAACCTTGGATCAACATTTTGTGGTGGTAAAGGTGTTGGCCCCACCCCACGATCAACTGTTTCAACCCGACAGCGTTCTTTGCTAGAATCAGTTGTGCTTGGCTCTTCATCCACTCTTGAGAGATGGCCACTTGGTGGCCGACTGACAGTTCCGTGTTTGCTTTTTTGCGAACCTGAAATGAAACAGAAATAAAATTTTTATAGTTTTACCAACAAATTAATAAAAAAAGCTTAATCCTAACTGCCAAACATTAAGCAATTAACCATGGCAGAAATTTCCACTATTTGCAGTTTAGCTGTAGAATTGCGATGAAATAATTTCCCATCATCTACACTAAAAAGTTTCATACTGATGGCCTACTACTATTTGCTTTTTTTTTTTTTATTAAATTGAAGCATAACAATCAGAAACTGAAATATTAAAAAACATTGCAACAAATACAAATGGCCTGAGAAAACTTGATAAAGAAAATGTGCCCTCGAGAAGGATTCTAATACTGAGTTTGATCTCCACTAGGTGGCCCATACTTGTACCAAAGCTAAGCTACATATAATAAATAACAGCAATTGAATTGTGTATATTTATACTACTAATGTAGGTGGCAAAAATTCAAGACAAGATAAAAACCAGATGCTTGGAGGCTGATTTCCATGCAAGAGAAGCCTTTGAGTGCCATAGCAAGTTTAATATCAAGCCAGATTCTTATTCTCTGGGACAAAAGAACCTCTTATTTAGATGTTATGTTTAAAGACGCCTTGCAAATGTCTCAATGATCAGATACTGTTAAATCCTACACAAACTGTTCTTTCTCCATCTATAAAATGTGATGATAAACATTTAATAGGAAAATTAGGCACCATAAGACATTAACAACAATCACTAATAATCAAATAGAAAAAGTATAATAAAAAAATGTTATATGATGGACAGAAAATTTGTATGATGCTGCTAAGATCTACAAGTACATCTTGGCAACTTCACCATAACATTTTTTTTTTTTAAAGTAAGAACTTGCAGAAAGAAAGGAAGTTCTTCACAGCTTCTCTTTTTACAGATATCTGAGTTGCCATCATCTTATTGTGTTTTGGAACCATCATTAAGTAAAACTTATGAATTTTTTTAATCATTTCACCTCAAGTAAGCTGGGAATGTCCCTAGTACACAGGGAGCTACTGACAGTGAAAGTGAGAGAAAAGACTGGGTATAGGGTGGATTGAGAAAAAAATAAGAGAGGAATAGGATTCAAGATTACAGAAAATGGTGATTGACATTGCATTTAAGACCTTGTCAAATGCCTTTAAGATATCTAGAACCATAGCTCAAGCTTTGCCATTATTATCAAGAGCTTGATTCAATTATGGCCATAAGCACATCAGAGATACACCTGGCAAAATGGAACCCATATTATTTGTCAGAGAGTAGATTGTGAGAGGTTAAATGCTTACCCACATCAGCATTGATTAAAGCCTCAAATACTTTGCTGAAAAGTGGTATTAGAATAATAGGGTGATAGTTAGAGGGGCCAGAAAGTTCTCCAAAGTTCTTAAAAACAGCAACTACAGGGGAGGAGTTTGGAGAGAACTGGAGCCAGCTCGGGAGCATACTTTTTTAGGATGACAGCTGGGATCCCATCACCTCTGCATTCCTTATGGAAGCCTAATTTAGAAATAATGTCTGAGACCTGTGATGGAGTTATGCACATATCCCTCAATAAAGCCTCTGTTCTTAGAGGGAATTCAGGTATAGGTACTCCAATTAAGTAGATTGTTGAATTGGAAGAGAATTTCTGAGCAAAGCATTATCTGCTGTAGATGTCAGGACTTTAAATTAATTGAATAGAAGTGGGATCGAGGATTTGTTCAACACACTCCTGCAAAGTCTCCAATAATCTCTAGAACTGAACTTGTGAGATACTATATGTTGTTTCATCCTATTAGCAAACAGTAACTTTGCTTCATTGAGGACACGCTTGCACTTCATTTATGGGATTGACTGCTGCCAAATGAAATCATGGCAAACAAAACTACAATTAGCAAATTTGGAAAAAAAATCTTGTATTTCAAGTGTAAAAATTGATCAGAAAGAAAAATTACAAAAATTTCAAATGGTGTAATGAGTACTGAAATATGAAAATTAGTACATTATGTGTGTGTATATATATATATATATATATATCTCACTTTGTTATTTTTAGTGGATAGTTGTATTTGAGTAGGAACTCTATTTATTAAACAATATAATCATTTATTTTCATTTACTCACCTGAATATTCGAGAAATCTTATTAAAGAAAAATTTGTGCTTGTCAACTGGATTTAAACTTGCATCCCTCAGGGCAGAGGGTGCTACCATTAAGCCCAGTCCACCTTAACAAAATTGGCCATGAAAAGCAATTAGTGAGATCAGGCCAAGTTGTGTGGCAAAAAGAATTTTAGAATGGATTTTTTATTAATTTAACAAATTTTTATTAATCATATATATATATATATATTTTTATATAAATCACTGCTAAAATGCAATAGTACATCATGTTGAGAAATTGATAAGGCACTTTCTACTTAATAATAATAAAAATCCAGACAAGCACTGACCCTAATCATACTTATTATAAGACCCAGGTTGTGTGTGTCTGTACGTTTATATATTGGATCGGATTTCCTACATTTTTCAACCGATTTCAACTTCACAGGACTACATAAAATTACCTTGTGGTGGTTCTGACAGCGCCAAAGATTGGAAAAACACAATTGTTTTTGCATGAAATCAATTTGGAAACACGATTAAGAGGCATCACGAGAATGAAAGGGGGACAACTCATATCAAGTTATACTTATTATAAAACCCAGGTTGTTTTGTGTGTGTGTGTGTGTGTGTGTGTGTGTGTGTGTGTGTGTGTGTGTGTGTGTTTGTTTGTTTATATATCGGAACCGATTTCCTACATTTTTCAACCGATTTCAACAAAACTTTTTTTGGCAGGTAGTGTTTCTTATTGTCTTGCATACTTTTTTCTTAATTTTTACATTCAGAATGCTTTAAAAATTCCATTTACAACACAATTGTTTATATTAAAATTCTATTCAATCGGTAGACTCATAACGATTGAAAACAATGTTTTTGTTTGAGTTTGGATTTGACCAATCTGTAAAAAAAAACCCCAAAAAACCAAAAAAACAAAACCAAAAAAAAAAAAAAACTAATTAAGACATGCGTGTCCATCAACCTTAAACAATAATCTTTGTCAATTTTATTTTTCAGTCTTTATGATGGTCGATACTTGATCTATCTCTTACTGTTACATCCCTGGGCAACGCCGGGTTCTCCTGCTAGTGTCATATAAAAAGGATTATGGTCTATCTTGATAACAGAAGGCAAAGCTCAATTCAATCAGTCTGGGGCCATCACAGACCCCCTCCAGCTTTGTGATCAACCTTATAGATAAATGAATGGGTTGAGTTTAGTTTTTAAAAAAAAAAAAAAAAAAAAAAAAAAGAGAGAAATCATGAGAATGTTGAAAACTGTTTATATGTGGTGATGGTTAAATGGTAGAGAAATAAGAATATCAAGAAATATTTTTTATGCTATCAACATTCATGAAATAACAAAAGCCATTTTGAAAATGCAAGCAACCAGAAATATATGAACAATGATTTATAGGGATAACAAGTAACAATTACCAGCTGAGGAGGTGAGATGAACAAAGTACAAGGAGAAACAGTATACTTTGCTTGGAACTATATCTCCAGTTGAACTAGCCAATTATCTATTGACTAAATGCAGGCAATTATATTCATTTGTCTTGAACACAATATTTCATCTGGTCTGTTTTGCAACCTTCCTCAAGCCTATGAAAATTTTATATAAATATATTATATATATTTTACAATTTTATTTTTTTCTTTCTAATATAATATAAAACTAAGAGGTTGTCTAAAGTTCTGAGTATTGTAGAAAAATGTTACAATAAGATTTACTTATAATCTAAGTACAAAAAATATATAACTAAGTTTATATATAACAGCCCAATCTGTTAGTATGACTTAGATTAATCTAATCAATAACAATTCATTTCATCTGGTTTTCAAAACACATTGGTACTTGATGTAGAAATTTTATAAAGGTTAGAGGTTAACTATCAAAATCTTTTTCCTTTCACCACTTGAAATATTTACTTTATGAATTAATAAGTAAAGGTGAATGTAGATATATGGGCCAAAGAAAAAAATTGTCCTATCCCCACAACTCGTGTCATGATGGCATTGGCATCGCCAACCTTCTCTCTTTAGTGTAAATGAGAGAGGTACTGCTGCATGGTCGGAATCCTTGTGACCAAGTATCCCTTATTACAGGAATGTAAACAGTTCAAAGGCAAAGAGTAATGATAAAGAACAGATATTGCTCTCTAATTCTAACCCAAGAGTCATCGGAATATGAAGCGCTAATCCATATGGAAATAATGGTATTATTATGTTAATAGTGAAATAATTTTCACTTAATTTCTTTGCTTTGACTATTTGTGGAGCCACTATTTTCATATTCTATTTCCTCACTATTATAAGGAATAGAAGTTTAGATATCTTTAATACACAAAGTAGAATCAAGAATTATGAAAATAGAATTCCAGTTTGATTGTTTAGAAAAACAAGACATGCAAATGAAAGAAACAATGAATAAGATAGAAGTGTTTAATGGCTGTTTCTATGAAAAAAGTTGTCAATTTCAAATCTTTTCAATTGTACCCCCTTACTTCTTAAAATAACAACCAGCATTCATATTTATGATTGTTATTGCAATATTTTGTTGAAGTTATGAAATATTTTAAGAATGGGGAATTTCTATGGATATGTTATTGTCATAGAAATTGCCATGAGCTTATTCAATTATTAACTGAAGAATTAAGATTAATAAGAAAATAAAAATAGAAAAACCATGAACTTTTCACAGATTTTTCTAGTATCTATAAAAAGACAATATAAATAAAGGTAAATGAAAACTTTTCTTTACCAACAAGTTACGACTCCTGAAAGACTTCAAATATAAGGATTTTATTTTGTTTTATTTTATTTTATAAATAAATGTTGCAAAACAAAATCCCTACATTTCATTAAAAAAAAATCCCTCATGAAATGAATGGTATTGGTAAAGAAAAGTTTTCCGTTTATCTTCCTTCAAATAT